AGAGAGGGGATGGAATGTGACCTTTTGCTGAGCCCCGCAGGTGCCAGACTCCGGGCTCCGAGTTATAAACAGCTTATAACTGTTCTGTCAGCCGCACGGAGGCCCTGTGAGGCAGGTTTGGTCCCCGTGACTAGTGGGACAGCCAGGACTCAGTGAGCAGGTGAAGTGACGCGCAAGCTCCCCATCGAGGACACGGCAGAGCCCAGCCGGATCCAGACCCTGCCCTGACTTCATCGGCCCACCCCTGGGACGTGTCAACCTCAGGCACAAGATATCCTGCCTGTCTGCGCCTCTGGGCCGCTACTCCTCAGCTCTGTGCTGCCTTACATGTGGGTGCGGCCTGGCCGCGCCTTCCCCACCAGGTGTAAGCAGTCCTGTCTCCCTTCCGGAAGTCTTTCCTGAAAGCAGAATGCTGATCACGACCCCTCTCCCCCAATGCGAGTCTGATCTCCTGGGGCTCAAACTTAGTGCAACGGGCATTGATTCATGGAATCCAGGCCTCAACATCAGGAGAGACCCACGATGGGTCTAAACATTCTGCTGACCTGTGTCCCTGCCTCCTCCTCCGGGTGAGCAGCCAGCCCCATCTGACCCCATCATGGACCAGGAAGCTCACCACCCACGACCAATCACATGTAGGGACTCTCACTGCTGGAAAGTTCTCCCAGGGGTAAACGTCTGGGTGCCTGACATGGAAATGTGGAGGGGGGCACCAGAGGATGAGGGGAGACAGGAGTTCTCTCCCACCACCTCCGCAAATGCTCCCCAGTGGCAGCTTTCAGCAAGACTTAACAGAGTAACAGGTCGCGCTGACAGTGATAAGACTGTGATGAACGCGTGTTAGTGGACACACAGGAAAGCAAGGCCAGGCAGCGTGCCCAGGAAAAATGGTGAAGCGTCTCCTGGCCCCTCACCAGCCAGCGGGACAGAGCTGCCTCCCTGCAGTGCGATGGGCTCCACCTCTGGTCCGAAGGTCGCATTTCTGCTGTCCCCAGTGTTTTCTTGAAGATAAGCTGATCGCACTTGAGCACTAAAGTCACTTGTTTTGTAAACTTGGGATTTACATGATTTTCCATTTTTAAAAGTGTATGATCTGGTCATTTTCCCTGGAAGCTTATTTGTGTCTAATTGTAGTTATTTTGCTGTGATTCTGGTGTATCTTGATGGCTTTTTGGTAAGAAAGGGAGCCTAGCCCTATAACTTGTTCCCTCACCCCCTTAGGCCAAAATAAATGGGGGTGAGGTTGTGGGGACTAGTCCCCAAGGCTCACAACTGAAGATTTTCCTCAGGTTGATCTCAACCAATAATCATTACTCTCTGGGAAAGTTTATCTAGCCAACTAGGATTCTATTCTGCCTAACCGAAGTACAGTGGGGCCTTGACTTACGAGTTTAATTTTGTCTGAGACCGAGCTGGTTAAGGAGCTCGTTAACTCAAATTAGTCTACTGACTCAATGCAAAAAATCGGCCGAGAGACAGCTGGTATCTCAAAAAACTCGTTAGTTGGGACACTCGTAAGTCAAGGCCCCACTGTAACTTATTTTCATCTTATTGACAAAAGATCGTAAAGGTTGTCAATTCCAGGGATTTGATTGACCACGTGCCCATGAGCACTGGTCCTGATTTAAAAAAAAAAAAAAGTGTGGTTTTTCCCAGATTACCATGTAACTGTGGGTGTGCTGTCTCCTGTCCGGATGAGACTCTGGCCCCGCGAGCCTGTGGAGCCTGTCTTGTTCATCCTTGAATTCCCCCACAGCCCTTAGTCTCTCAGAGGGGCCCTGCCCACCCCCTCTAGACTCATTTGTCACCTCCCTCCCCTTTTTTTTAATATATTTTATTGATTTTTTACAGAGAGGAAGGGAGAGAGATAGAGAGTTAGAAACGTCGATGAGAGAGAAACATCGATCAGCTGCCTCCTGCACATCTCCCACTGTGGATGTGCCTGCAACCCAGGTACATGCCCTTGACCGGAATCGAACCTGGGACCTTTCAGTCCGCAGGCCGACGCTCTATCCACTGAGCCAAACCGGTTTCGGCTTGTCACCTCCCCCTTTATCGGGCGCAGTGCGTGGCCTTGCAGCCCCTGGAATACCCTGTGCTTTTTCACGTAGTGTCTTGTCCCTTATCTGCTTGTCTGGCTATAAAGTCCTCTTTCTCCCTTCCCAGGACTCTCCCTGCTAATCACTGGTCAAATTCTGTTTACCTCTTCCCTCAGGGCCACCCCATGCCTGACTCCTCCCACCATGCCCTTGCCTTCACCCACAGCCTAGTCACCTTCGCTGTGATTATATCGTTACACACCCCACAAAGTCCCTTGAGGGCAGACAGTGTCATTTCCTCTCCAGTGCTAGCCCAGTGCCTGACAGTAGGTGCTTAAATATTTGCTTTCACCTGCTTTCAAAGAGTGAGCAAACTTTGTAGTCTGCGAAGTGCTATCAGGTGATTGCTGTCCTGGCTTCCAGCAGAGGAAGAGGCCTGGCCTCTCTGAGCCTATATTCGGCTTGTTTGAGGGTCTCAGCCCGCTTCTTCCAGGCACGCTTTTCTCTGTGTGATCAGAGACTGCGTGGGAGAAGAAGGGACGTGGCCAAATTCCGGGGAGAGCCCTGGGCCAGCCGTACAGGCACCCTTCACTCCTTTATTTACTTTCTGTGTCTGGGATGCAAGAGCAAGGAGCTGCCCCTGTGTGTGCAGATAGAAACCAGTGGTCCGTTTCCAGTCCTCAGGAAGGTAATGAGGAACTGAAGAGCGTGGGGGCTGTAGGGTGGCCCTAGAACTCAGGCCTCGTAGAAAGTGGGGCTGCGTAGGCCTGGGGAGAGGCGTGGAAAATCAACCTCGGGCCAGGGACTGCCTTCCAGCAGAACCAGGGCTGGGCCCCTCAGAGAGCAGGGTGGATCTGTTGACAGACATAGGAGCTCTTGGAGGACTGGTTTCCCACCCTTGCCACCACCTTCCCCAGCCCCACGGGGCTCCCCGTCCTGCACATAAACCCTAGGTAGGAAGCCCCTCCTGACCGCCTAGCCCCACTCCTTTCCTGTCCAGGAGGCCTGGCTCTTAGCTTCCGCCCATGCTGCCCAGAGCCACCCTCCTAGGTTCCTGGTACCTGGCCCACACGTCCGGTTTTCCCCAAAGCAGTGTCCTCGGTCTCCACCATTTCCAGGCATTCCAAAGCCCCTCACCGCCTAGGAGCCCTTGTCTTAGAAGACACTTTGTAGGTCAGCATCTTCGTCCTCACTGAGGGAGGGGGAAGGTGAGGGCCAGACATTTGTCAGATACGGCTTCTGCCACATGGCTTTTCCCAGCTCCTCGGACTCCTAAACTCCCCAGGGGCACAGCTCCTCCTGCCTCTGTGGGAGCCACAGTGCTCTCTTAGCCGTATCTCTGTAAATGCGCCCATCGGCTGTACCAAGGCCTGCCTCTCCTTCCAAGTGTGTGTTCTTTGTGGAAAGAACCATACCCCAATGGGCGTTTCCTGAACAAGTGTCCTAAGCTAGAGGTGAGTGGCAGGGCAGAGCCCACATCTCCTGAGATCTCCCCCAGTGCTCTCCCCACTGGACTCTACGCCCCCTTTCATTCACTCATACCAACATGTGTCCTGTCACTTGGGTGACTTCCTAGTCTCTCCCCAGTTCCCCTACCCATGGCAGCTTCACAAGGTGTGATTTTGGGAGGATAACCAAGGCTTGGCAGTGGCTGATCAGACCTGGGTGAGGAATCCGGGCTAGTCAGTGGGCTCAGGAAAGAGCAGGACCACAAATTGAAGGGCCTTTGCCCAAGAGGAGTGGTGTGTAACAGGTAGGCATTAACCCAGGACAAGAATCCAGAGAGGTCTGACACATGGAAATCTATAGAGAAAGGACAGTACGATGAAGCACAAATAAAGGTTAAGGGTCCAGACCGCAGCTATTGATCCAGCAGTTATCCCTATGGGGTAGGCACCAGACGGTCAGAGCAGCTGGCATCAGGGAGATGGCTGGAAGGTTCCAGGCTCGCTCAGACCCAGAGAGGAGCAGCACTGAGGAGGATTAAGGGAGGGGAGGGTTCCTGTCTCCCTGACACCCCAGCCTCTAGACTGAGGTGGGATGCATGGGAAGAGTTAAGTGCACTTGCAGCCAGGGTGGAAGTGGGGCTGTGAGAGCAGATCTTAGCAGGAACAACACTACTCATAGGGTTCTCAGTGCCGGCAATGCGCCCTTTGAAGAGTCACAGATTAAGTAAATTAGAAGAAATCTCTCACTTCTCTCATTTAAGATGTAAACACTCTGTATATTAATGGGGAAGGTGATAGGTGGTGGTAAATAATACACCAACACCACATTGTGAAGTCTCACTTCTATCCCCGAAGGCAGGCATGAGAACACGTGGGCTGGAAAGGGGGCACCTGGAATGGAAGGAAGCCAGAATTTGAGGGGAAACCTGGAGAGG